TACAGTGTCTCCCCTGTAGTACAGTCAGTGTCTACCCTGTAGTACAGTCAGTGTCTACCCTGTAGTACAGTCAGTGTCTACCCAGTAGTACAGTGTCTACCCTGTAGTACAGTCAGTGTCTACCCTGTAGTATAGTCAGTGTCTACCCTGTAGTACAGTCAGTGTCTACCCTGCAGTACAGTGTCTACCCTGTTATTTGTCCCTAATCATTGTCTAATTCATTATTTTTGAAGTAAATTGATTCAGCAAAATCTTTTGGAAATAGAATAGTTAGATTGGAAACAGATATTTTAAGAGCAAATGCTAAATGGCTCCTATTTTAATGAAATATTATGAAGTTATATAAAGTATGAAACAACAAATATGTGTTTATAACAACATACATCCTGATTTTCTGACAATGACCCATTATTATTAAAGAAAAATGCAGTTTTAACCCATTTACAATGAACATCAAATTATCATTAATTGTCCTTCCATTATTTTTAGTTAGTGTGTTCAACTTTCACAACTTTTATTTCATACAGTTTTAATTCAAACATGCATATTTCTAATACATGCAATTCCCAGTGGTTTGTTTTTTATTCAAATGATCATAAAACCAATGAGCATAAAATTTATTTCAGAAAACTTGCTATATTTAATGTTACACATGGGTATAATATAATTCCTAATAAATCTTTTGTGTGTATAAGTAAGACCTGTGTAGGTAGGCTATATATAGGCACCTCCCCTATTTCATTAATACTGGCATTACAGTGCATTAGGACCACGTATCTCAAACACCCAGATCCATTAATCAAAACTATACTTTATGAAATATTAATATGTACTCTATCTCAGCATCCCAGCGTGGAACTCGACCGAGAAAGACGATGATGACGATAAAAGTGAGAAAAACTATGTAGCGTACACTGATCAATAGACAGGTATCACTTTCACATCGTAATAAATATTGCGTACTTAACAAATCAATACTTCAAACAAATGAAATGTAATTTTGCCTACAATCTGAACAGCTTGTGATCACGGTAACGCCTCTCGTTCCCTCAAGGTACGCCATTCTATGCTAGATGCTGGCTTATACTTCAAAAGAAGGTTAGCTAATAAAGTGATTGGTAATTGTCCATGGTTGAGCGAGCACCAAGCTTGTGACACGCTTGATTGCATGCACACCTATAAACATACACCATGTTAAATTATATTTCTCAGTTTATTGTTTGTTATACCTTTGTAGTTTTTTAGCTTGTCAAATTCAAGTGCATTACAAAGTCTGTCCAGTCGATGGAGCATGACCCATAATAATTGTTACACCTATCTAGGCACGTGCCACATGTCATTGGATACAACCTTGTCACCATAGCAACAGCAGCTGCAGCATGATAACAACCTCATTAAAGAGTTAATTAATGCACAAATATCCGATCAATAGACATAAACTCACCAAATTTACTGGAAGTGCTTTATTGTAGCCATATATAGGGCTTAATTACCCTTTACAAACAACTACGGTTTATATAGATGGGTCAAAGGAAACCAAATTAATGTACAGCCTTTATAAAAATATGTAAATTTATTTCTAAATTAAATAAACAGGGGTCAAAGATAAGGAATAAATGTCTTGCATTTAAAGGACAACATAAAAGCACTCACTGTTAAATTTATGATGAAAAAAAATCAAAAAGATTATTATTAGTTATAGAGTAAAATGGAGGTCACATAAATCTAGAATTGAAAATACAACACAAATAATTATTGTCTTCAATAATATGTAATTTCTCAATGAAATAGTTTATATCACTAAGTTGAACCTCCATTCAATTATGATCATTTCTATATTTTTTATCATTCCTGTTAACATAATTAAAGTTTCAATAAACATCCAGTTCACTGACAGCCATACCATAGCTTGATCTCGTCCAATGGTGCCCCTGAACTATTGGCTAAAAATAACACTGATCTTGTGATAGAAACCATTATTTAGTAAGGTACATTAAAACCTTTTTTATCACATTTCTGTTATCAGACAAAAGTGTTATATTTAATATTATATGATATGTAATAAATCTGTTAAAAATGTGTTTATGAACACACTTCATTTAGTAACAAACCCTTCTGCAACAACTGAAATCTTATTTCCTAGTTGGCTTGGGTTTGACTGACGGTAACAACAAAATCCTTCTAAAGTAACACAGTCAGCAGTTTTATGTAAATTTTTGGTCTGCAGTATAAGCCAATCTTCCAATTTTGTGCAGTCAGTTTTATAAAATATTTGAGACAGAAAAACCATTTCAAAAACAAGACATGAATATTCCATTTTCTTAATCACATGCATCTAAACCACAATATTTCCATATTTGGACATGTGAACTTAAAAAGAAAATTTATTTAGTTATCATTTTTATTACTTACAGTGCACAAATCTCAATTGAACACGAGGAACTCTCTCAATTTTCTAATGTGAACATCCTTCTAGAATTTCAACTGTTTACACAAAAACAACAAAACCAGTAAATTATGTTACTTACGATTTACACCGATCTCTTGGGCGCCGCAAGTGTCGCATAGGACACCACATTATCAGCCAATATTATAAAGTCTTAAAAAACATTTCGAAAAAAGGGCTCAGAAGTGTAGTAATGGCAGAGTAGTGACCTTGAACAGGAACCTTGATATAATTGAATAATTCCCAAATAACTAATTTGAAAGGTTTCAAATTGGCGTTGCATATCATTCATGCTGCATTCTATGGTTGCGCCACAAAAGATAATCACAGGCATTTGGAGATTTGCAGATTTATTTTCCGATTCCTCTAATTTAAATTCAAAAACTTTAAGAAGATTAAGTAAATTCAAATTCATTTTCACAGAAAGTATTTTATCAGGACAAAGCACTTTTTTGATAAAAGGAACATTGATGTTATATGTTTACTTAGTAGATGCAATATAAAACAAAAGATAATGTACAGAAACATATTCCATATAAGCGCTCTTACACAGGATATACAGACACCAAAAACAGATGTTATTATATCATTGTCTCCTGCAAACCTCATGAATATAAAGAATTCTGAATGGCCATTAGCTATACATACTATAAATTCAATTTCTGATCAGAAAAAAAATCTACAGAAAAAAACATCAAAAACCTTTTCAGTTTAATGACCTTTACTATCAAGTCATTGTCAGTCTGATGACCTATACTATCAAGTCATTTTCAGTCTGATGACCTATACTATCAAGTCATTGTCAGTCTGATGACCTATCCTATCAAGTCGTTGTCAGTCTGATGACCTATACTATCAAGTCATTGTCAGTCTGATGACCTATACTATCAAGTCATTGTCAGTCTGATGACCTATACTATCAAGTCATTGTCAGTTTGATGACCTATCCTATCAAGTCATTGTCAGTTTGATGACCTATACTATCAAGTCATTGTCAGTCTGATGACCTATCCTATCAAGTCGTTGTCATTCTGATGGAATATCCTATCAAGTCATTGTCAGTTTGATGGCCTATCCTGTCAAGTCATTGTCAGTTTGATGACCTATCCTATTAAGTCATTGTCAGTTTGATGACCTATCCTATCAAGTCATTGTCAGTTTGATGACCTATCCTATCAAGTCATTGTCAGTCTGATGACCTATCCTATCAAGTCATTGTCAGTCTGATGTCCTATCCTATCAAGTCATTGTCAGTTTGATGACAAATTCTGTCAAGTACATCATATTTATGTAAAAGGGTACTTATAAAGTAAGTAAACTGTTTCACTATTTTTGTGCAATTTTTGTTTTGTTTTATATTTTCTATTGAATTGCAATTTGTGATAAAAGCATATGACATACAGCTATCATGTATCATTTTAAAGCCATTATATAAGCTATTCAGCTGTGTAACTGTATTGTGATTTTGATAATTTTCTTATGACTTATGTCAGGTAAAGCGCTGACAGGTTCTGTTTTCTCCTAGTATTGATATAGGTGGCACTGCAGTCAGATTAATGGTTCAATAGATGTTTAACTGTTATTGTAATGTTTGCTTTGATGCAATAGACTAATTCAAATGAAAAAAAACATATAATAAATATTGTGGGCCATTAACACTGTAGAGAAAGCCATCTTACAGAGGTATCACCAACTCCTATGCCACCGCTCTATACTCAGTGTCACAATCTCATTTCTGTTCATCTATTTATCTACAGACACAATAGGTAATGATATCCACATGTCTACCTTTACTTAAGTAACAGAATGTCCTATATGTCACTCATTTAGGAATATCATATGTCAATAACATTTCACATTTAAGGAACATAGCCTTTATTATTAACATGGATTTTGATTACATGTAGGGTCTTTACTCAGTAAAATATAGGACTCAATATCACTAACGTTTCAAAAGGAAAGTAAAAAGGTATTCAAAGATGACCTTCATGGAAGTTATCTTCAATATGGTAGAGTTCCAAATTACAATTCCTCAATGAAAGTACTGTCACAGTAAGACTTCCCATTCAGAAGAAATAGTGTTTAGAAAAATGTTATAATGCCAGTTACTTTCAAAGCCATTGTACAATTTTGTTTAGGACTAGAACAATGAAGTGGTGCCTCTTGTATACTTGTGTATCTATGTTTATTAGGATAACAATGATTTCAACATGGTGGGACAATATGTCTCCATCCCTTGTAGTTGTTACAGCAATCAGAGAAGTAACAAATTTCAAACTGGCTGTCAGAATGGTCATCTTTAATAGGACTGTACTGACCAGATAAAATCTTCAGGACAAATAATGATGGAAATACTTCAAAATGGCAGCCATTACAACCATCATGAGTGTCATATGACTCGGAATTTGCAGACATTTGTAGTCATTGACCAGTAGAACTAAAATGATAAATGAAAAATGCAAATTCTACAAGTTACATTTGCAGCCTAAATCAATTCTTCTTTGGCTTTTTTATCAATTGTTAAAATATAATGTTACTCGTTTTCCTGTTTTACCTGTCTTGAAACACTTTCCAAATGACCTTGGAATCGTCAGTCGTTGAGGACAGAAGATCTACATTGTGATTGGCTCCAAACATGTGAACTCCATTGAGAGAACCGATGAGTGGGAATGGAAGCTGTAAAACAGATTGAAGATTTGTCACAGCTGATATATTGATGTTACTGGTGACTCTCACCTCACCTGTGTACATGTATTTACCTGGCGGAGTTACTGCCCTTGTGGCTGTAAGACATAGTGATGTGACAATATTTCACCTTATCTAATCTCATTAGACAGCTCACAGACACCAAGAATTTCTGGCTTGGTTAGGTTCATTTGTGATGTGAGTTTTCATAAATTAATATTTCCAATTATAGTTACAACAATATTTTACTTCTATAGAGTAAAAGACATTTTATAAGTTGAAAACTTACATACTTAACAGGAACTCTTCCCTTCTAACCAAAGTGAAACTCAAAACGGTCCTACACTAATATGCAGTGACTTATCAAATGAGATAAACCATTATGTGACGATATCCCAGAGTGATCTAGGAGCCCACCATCATATGAAATTTATTCTATTATTCTATTAAGTTGGATTGTCTCCCTTCTTTTCTCTTCTTTCCTATTATCTGCCGTTTGTCAGCCATTTTGTTTTTTCAAAAGTCTTAAAATAGAAAATGCACAATCAATGACCAAGTGAAATTTGATTTATCAGTCCTTTCTGCCTTGTGAAATAACAATAACAACCTTGTTGCACATTTTGTTTATCCAATCAGTTCAAAAATTGAACATGAATAACTAGGGGCAAAGGGGCACTTACTCAAGAAACCGTAATAACAAATGTTAACAGTCAAATTCTGAGATGGTAGCCTGTGGGCCATTTTGTTTTTCAGATCAATCTAAAAATTGAATAATATGAAAAAGATTTATCTGATATTTCTGAAAGAATAGTGATAACAAACTTCCAAACTACAAAATCTGTGATAGCTGCCTGTCGCCCACTTTCTTTTTTCAAACCATTCTAAAATTGAACAGATATTTTAAATAGAAAAGATACATTCTCAACTATTTTCATTGATTGGTTTACACAGTTGGACCAGGATTGTTTGCTTATGAAAAAAGGGATGAACCTACTGATCTCATTTTGTTTTCTGGTGAGCATGTACTACTTCTTTCATTGTCTGTAATAATTTTGCAGGCATGTCCCAATTGATGCCTGAACATTTAAACAACCCAGGAACCTATTTGTCTGCATAAACTTTCAAAATAGAATATGACTGTCTGCTGACTATTTTGTTCCTTGGTTCAGTCCCAAAACTGAACTACACAACTAGAGACCAAGGGGAACACTCTTCAAAATTTGAGAATAATCAATCCTGTATTTCCTGGCCCCCAGATATCAAATAAAATATCTGAATATAAAAAATAATTGCCTACCCTATCTGATAAATCAGGTCAAAGCTTGTTGATATCAATCCAGACAGAAAGGAGGAGCTGGGTTTTAAAGCTAATTTCAGCACCTCCCCATTTGGAGCCCCGTCCCTTGACCCGTAGGAATCAAATAAAAATTCAGAATTTAGCAAATGATAACCCAAACCCAATGATGCATCAGACCAAATTTGGTTGTAATCCACAAAGGTATGAAAGTGGAGTAGGGTTTTAAAGAAAAGTATATGCACGATGCAGAACACATGACACACAGAACACAACAATGGACAAAGCATGATAAAAGGTTATCTTGACTTTTCGGTCAGATGACCTAAAAAAACCCAAACAAACAAGATACCTGACCTTCAGAATTACAGGTAAACTTGATACTCGACCTTGATAACTACAAATAGGCATAACATGTGACCTTGAGAACCACAGATAAACATAACTGTCCTTCAAAACTACAGATCAACATAATACCCCACCTTCAGAATTATAACTACAGAGAAACATGACACCTGACCCTAAAAACTAGAATAAACATGATATGTGACCCTGAGAACTACTATCATAATAGATTAACATGACATCTGACCTTTAGAACAACATGTACAGATAAACTTGACACCAGACCATCAGAACTACAGATAAACATGACATCTGACCTTTAGAACTACAGATAAACATGACATCTGACCTTTAGAACTACTGATAAACATGATATCTGACCTTTAGAACAACATGTACAGATAAACTTGATACCAGACCATCAGAACTACAGATAAACATGACATCTAACCTTTAGAACTACTGATGAACATGACATCTGACCTTTAGAACTACTGATGAACATTACATCTAACCTTTAGAACTACTGATGAACATGACATCTGACCTTTAGAACTACTGATAAACATGACATCTGACCTTTAGAACTACAGATAAACATGACATCTGACCTTTAGAACTACTGATAAACATGACATCTGACCTTTAGAACTACAGATAAACATGACATCTGACCTTTAGAACAACAGATAAACATGACATCTGACCTTTAGAACTACTGATAAACATGACATCTGACCTTTAGAACTACAGATAAACATGACATCTGACCTTTAGAACTACTGATAAACATGACATCTGACCTTTAGAACTACTGATAAACATGACATCTGACCTTTAGAACAACATGTACAGATAAACTTGACACCAGACCATCAGAACTACTGATAAGCATGACATCTGACCTTTAGAACTACAGATAAACATGACATCTGACCTTTAGAACTACTAATAAATATGACATCTGACCTTTAATGACATCTGACCTTTTGAACTACAACAAGAAAGAGGTTACCAGGACCAAAATGATCAATTTTTTCAAATTCCTTTGGGCCAAGTCAAAAAATACAAATGGCTAGTTGTAATGTTTGGAAAAAATATCTAAGAACTGTTAAGATTTATAAAAAAAAATCCCATAAATGAACTATTAATAAAATAATTACTTCATTTTCATCTGTTTATGCTCTTGAGTTAATTCACTAATTAGATGGAAGCTTAATAACAAAGTTTCTATTTTCGTCCCAGAGTGTTATTGTGTGTTGAAAATACAAATCAGGATCTGAATGTGTCATTCTTAATTTGTCTTTGTCAGTGGGGGTTTCTGCTAATAGAATAATAAACCCTTTTCCATCATTTAGTAAGCAACTATATGCATATTAAAGTACAGTATGCCAGAAAATCTAGACTGTGCATAAACTGAATGTACAATTTTGTCTTACTTCTGCTTATGACTCATTCAAATAGTAAATTCAATTATCAGAAACCATACCTCTGTTCCTTATACAGCCTAATTTTAGTCAGAAGTAAGCAAAGTTTTAAAATCATTGATGGAAAATATCTCTTCCTGGAATTCATCATTTGTTGGGAACGTTTGCTAAATGGTTTATGATACATCAATAACAACTGACACACAAAGCCTGTATTATTTTTCTGCTTCCATAACCACATTACTATACTCTAAAAAAATCTACCAAAGCTTTTCCATGCTGTCCTGCTAAAGTTTTACATAAATAATTAATCCCCCAATTCTGTCATCTACCATAACACATGTAGTCTTAGTACATATCTATACCGACACTAAAAAATGCTCACACTCCACATGCCACCTATTTCCATAATTGTACAACAGTTGAAATGAAACTCATTTATATTTAAAAGGTCTTCTTTCAAAATTCATGTGTCATAAAACAGACAATGTTCTGTTTTGAATTGAATACATATTTATTGAATATTCGATCAAGACTTTATTCCAAAATATATAACTATTGTTTTATTTCCTTGAATTATCCCTAAACCATTTATGAGAATATTTGTATTTGAATTCCACTTTGTGCAAACTTGTTCAAATTTTGGTCCCAAACGGGTAATTATTCCAAAAGGAGTGCCCAACATTTCTGCAAATCTTAATTGTTTCATTTAAGGAAAATTAAGCTGAAAAATGACTGCTTTAATAATACTGATATTTTTCTTTTGCTTTTGATATTGGTTTGATTTTTGAGGATTTTTCATATATATTAAACATGACACACTCATACACCACATGTAAGGTTTATGTTGTAAGCACTACTAAAAACATAAATGTACAATGACACATATTCATGTGTCCTGAATGTTCTGTTGATCAGTATTTAACTTTACCTTATATCATAAATAAGTTTACTACTAGTATCAAATTTGTCTGTTCTCAAGCAGATTTCAATTAAACTACACTCAAATCATCTATCAAAATGCTTATCACTGTTGTATTTATTGAAAATATAAATTTGCAATATTTGCCTTCTTACTTGGTCTTCAACAGAACCCAATGATAAATTTACTGGTTTTTTTTAATATAAAACTCAAAAATGTATATACTAAATAACTAAAAAGGAAAGATAATATGTGTTTAACTGGTTTTATTTTCTCCTTTTTCTAGGGGAAGGGAGGTAGAGGAGGAGGTATATGTTCTTTCTCAATTACACGATTAATCAATCGTTGAACTGTCATTGAAAATTGTAGAATGATAACTAACCATTGCATTTCATTATAAGGTACTTAACCTCTATTTACATCATGACTTACCTTAGAATCTATGAAATTAAAAATAAATCATGATATATACATGAAAAGTGAAAATAAAAACATAAAGGGGAAAAACTGGGATTCACTCATGTCAATATATAGTTTATGAACATGTTCAATGAACAGTCCTGCGAATAGATATACTATTTGCGTGAAACAATTCAATACAACATATTTTGGTGTTATTATGGTTGTCAAAATGTAGAGGATTGAAAAAATAAATTTGTTGCAAAAAGAATAAATAAAATTTGTTTTCTTTGAGCCTTAACAAGAATTTCCTTTATTTCCTTTTTTGATTTCATTTTGAAAATAAATCTCACTTCACTTTGAAATTCTTTAACAGTTTTCTTAAATTATTTTGGTTTTGATGTTAATGAGAAACCAAATAACAAATAGCTAATTAAAATTCTAGTGAACTACATGCAAATTGCCCGTTTATTTCAATTATCCCACTGCGGGCCCCCTTTCCAAGATGCTAGTGGGTCATGGGTGAGAGGCCACACACTCGAGTCAATACACACTGACGATTTTGTATATCAGTATCTAGCCCACCACCAAGTGTAGAACCCACGGTACAAGCCCCCGATGAGAAATGGCATATAATCTACTGCAAACTTTGAAGTGACATACTGGCTTCAAATCTCCTGAAGACCGTGTGAAGACCGGCAAACCTCCGCTTGCGGTGAGGCACGTTACGTACACCGCCATACCTAAACAAAACCTACATACGCATGCGTATTACTTATCATCAGAATGATGGGTAAATAGTATGGCGCTGTAGTTTCAATGGAAGAGGCATCTGTCAAATATTTTTCGTGGAAAAAGGTAAGTTTGAACGAGTGTCATGACTTTTTATTGTAGCTGAATCCGAGGTATGTATATGTTTTTCGATTTGTGTATAACGAGAATCGCTATTTTGGACGATGCTGATCGCTACCAAGACGTAAACCTGAGCACGTGCCACGCTCCTGTCTGGGAGCCCATTGTTTTCTATTCGCCGCATGCCCCGTTCGCTACCGTAGTGGGGCATGTGCTGCAGCAATTTTCATGCAATGCTCATACAATCTTACTGTTAAACGGAACTTGTTAATAAATATTGCTTCATATCGTGTCATTGTCTTGTTGTTGATATGTTTTGGCAATGGGTCGGGTCGGATTTGACAACAAAGACTTTCCGCGCGTCGTTTGATGATGTCTTAGTCATATCTATATGGGCTGCTCAGATCACAAAGAGTGGACGGTATCGATCGCCCTGCCATCGTTATAGGACGTTCGCTTCTCAAAATATAACTCGAAAAACCCTTTGTTTCACTTAAAAATCCTTACTTTAAAACCAATTTTACAGGACAATGATTTTGCAGCTATAATGCAACATTGTATCAATTTATTAATTACTGTGCAGTGGTTAGAATAAAAGATATTGTGTTTTAGACTGTACATATTGTGTAATTCGGTACTGGGACACAATGGTTAGACCAGCCTCCATGTATTTCTTTGTTCTTTGTATTAGTCATAATGTAAATTGCTGTCTACTTAACACAGTACTAATTGCCTTTTTTCTCTCTATAGGATTAAGGTTGTCAATCACTTTACTACAATGTGGTAGGTAATTTTATCAAATGTAGTTGTATTAATGAATAACAGATATGATTTAAACTATATCATAAAAATTAAGAAATCTTAAGGTAAAGATGTATTTATGAAGTCAAATTTTGATGTCAAAGCTGTTTTGTTTCAGAAACAAGCAAATAAGAATATTTGATATAAAAATGTATGTTTTGATCCTAGATACCTTTATAAACATGCAAAATTATTCAATTTTGAGGGCATTTTTTCTTTTAAGGAATTAGCAATTTTCTCTCAAATGATAAATGAAACATTTAAAAAGCATATACCTTAATCAGTCATTCAGTTTTCATTATGTTAAATTTGTGTATGTTTTGAAAACAAAGTTATCAATCAAGTCTTGAAATTTTGAATAAAGATGAAATAATTCATATATCAAAATGGCTGTCATATCATTTATTTAAGGCATGTTATTGAAACAGCTGATGTTTCCTTTTAAAACCCACCTGTGGTATAATGACAAATTAGATTTACATTGGTCCAAAACAGGACTCAGGAGATGTGAAGTAGTTTGACAGATTCTAGTGAACCTTACCAGTGTGAACACATCTGCTCCTGGCCTTATCGTCAGTTGTCTAATCAGTGAGCATATATTATTTCCTTCATTTTATTCCTGTGCACATCTAATGGAATTAGATTATTTAAACATGTTCACTTGTACAAAATCAATATCGGAACAAAATGAAAAATGCAAAATACCACGAATTGCATAAAAGGCTTTTGGTACCCCGAGCATTTTGTAGATTTCATTTTCTTTGTTACTTCTCACATGACTGATTAATTGATTTTCCTGATTTTATTTCCACAATAGTCAGTCATCAATTAGTTGTAGTAGTGCTAGAAAATTAGATTTAGGATCTGTTTTTATAAGGTATTTAAAATCTCTCAAACTCTGGTGAAATTTGTCTTGCAATGGATAGTCATTCAACCAAAAAGAAAATCTGGTGTTTTCACATAATACTTGAAAATTATGAGAATTTTCAAAATCAACAGAATATTTAAATTCATATTGAAAGAGAAATATGATCTTGTCTATGAATTAGCATGTGAATGGTTTGATTGCTACCTACTGAGTGCAATCAGTCTTTATAGTTTCCTTCTTGACAATAGATGACTAAAGTTACAAATAAATGGTCAGTTATAATAAAGATCATATTTAAATTTAGATTTATTAGATATGGACAAAGTTGGAAATCTCTTTGCTATTGAAATTTTTCTGTTTTTTGTTTTTTTTTTTTTTTTTTCTTTTTTTTGTCATATCCTTAAAAAGATATGGTTTTCTATTGTAAATACTGAAATTTTAAGATAGTTTCTAAATGTAATGATTTCAGAATAAATACATTAATTACTTCCCTGTCATGATCTTCCTTTTAGTTTGTAACATACAGTATTTACTTACCATGCTGGTTGGGAACAATTTTGATTTAAATGGTAATCAGTTTTGTTCAGCACTATTATCCAAAAAAAATATTATTTATAAAACTTTGAAAACAATATTGCTTACCGTCTTCTCAATCATTAACCTGAAAGGATTTTATTGAAACTTCTGGTGGCTGGTCTTCCTCTCATGCAATGCAAATATTGAAATGGTCATTTTTAACCAAAATGTCAAGTTTCCTTATGTAATATTATGAAAAGTCCTGTTTCCTATTGAATTTAAAATCTCTCTTGGTACTCACTTTTCAATTGTTTAAAATGGAATGTTTCAATATTCCTATGTTGTGTAATGAGATGATATAAATCTAATGAAAATTTTGATAACAAATTCTATAAATACAGATATGGTTTCCATATTGATTTTCTTTTGTCACCTGCCTTTTTAAATCCATTCTTTTAATCTCTACAAACAAAACAAAGCATTTAAAATTTATTTGAAGATTCAGATTGTGTTTGAGATTCAAAATCCATTCAAGTTCATGGTTGTTGTGGATGACACATTGTGTAGGTTAAAAAGGAACCTCCCCAGTTTTGCTGCCTCTCTGACTTTTCCCCCTAAATGGTGGTGTGTAATGTGTAGATACGAAGGTTTAGTGTGGTGTTACAAGGACCTGCAAGCGAACATAGCTGGTTCTTCCCAATTAGTGTGATATTTTGATTGTAGCGGTGGCTGACATCACTTTTGATAACGGGTGTGAATTATCAGATTTACTCAGAATCATGACGACTTCCACTTCCATACTTGCACTGTGCAAGGTGCTGCTGCAATTTGATTTTTTTTTCATTCTCAAATTTCACTTTGGTATGCTGTGGCTCCCATTTGAAATGAGAATTTATTGTTTGAACATTGTGATGGAAAGTTTTGTCTGGTTTTATTTCAAATTACTGGTTTAAACAACTGCAGCCTTTCACATCTAAATGGCAAACAACACTGATTCAATTTGTAGAAAGAGGCAAACAGCATTAGAATTTTTTTTATGTTTTTTTTCCCTAATGTAAAGAAAATATCAGTTCAAAGGTTATGTAAAACTAACCACTTATGATTCAAGAAGAAATTCTGGAAAATGTAAGTAGCTCAAACCTCAGAAAAGTTACAAAAATCATAAACCTGACAAAAGAAAAAAATATCACAAACTTTGTAAAGTTAAAAAAATTTCACAAACCTTGTTAATTTAAAAAAAAAAAAATCATAAACGTTGAAAAGGTACATTATAACAGAAACCTTGGAAAGGTAACAAATCATCACAATTCTAGAAAAAGTAACAAAATATCTCAAATTTCGGAAAAGTTCCAAAATATCACATTTACCAAAGAGAAAATGAATCAAACCTAAAAAATATTACAAGCCTGAAATTGGCTGATATCTCAAACCTTTAAAATAGAAAAAAAAATCGTAAACCTTGGAAAATAAAACGAAGTAAACAAAATGAAAACAGCAATGCAAATAATTTTTGAAAAGTTCTTAAAATAAGATACATTATGATTGAAGAAAACTACAAATATGTATTAATCAGTTGTACTGATCTGATCAGAACAAGCTAATTTCAGAACTTGGGAATATAGATTCCCTGGTCTACACATCTCGCTCTCTACACTGTTCCACTCCTCCTTCTCTTTGGATGATGGTAGATACCAACAACTTTATTAATCACTTAAAGAGGTTTGGCTGTAATAGTGACAGGCAAATTCAGTCCATTTCCCAAGAAATAGATACAATATTAAAAACATGTTTTCCACTTTGAAAGAATCAAATCTTGCCATTTCACATTATTTTGAATGGACAATATCAAATGCATTGCTGCAGCCTTGAAAGTTATATTTAATACTAATGAATTGATAAGAAGCAGTAATTGAGTCACAGCAGTTTTGCTAAGAAAGTGAAACATTATGGTCAACATTGCACATTTTACTGCTCGTTTCTCTCTAATCTTTAAGTTCAGATCTCAGAAAAAAGTTTGTGAAGATGGAAGATAATATTTTATATCTGTCTTTTCTTGTATTGCCCTTGAAAATATCCTTATATTGTTATTTCTTTCCTTTTTTTTTCATTAAGGGGAGATAACTTTGACAATGCTGAAAATTTAATATTCAGTAGCGGTAATTGGATGTGGAGAATTCAAGAACATCAGTAATATTCATAATAAACATGTGAAAACAACATGGTCCCAGCATGCTAGTCGTTAGTTTCAATTATCATTTAACAGCTGTTCCTGTGTCAGTGATTATAGGATGTTAAGTTTCTATTGAAGGTGTGGAAATCGCCTTATAACTCCGGCCTTTCCTACGCAAACAATTTCACATGAGATACATGATGTACAGAAATAGGTATTGACAGAACAATGGAAGAGAATTAATTATTTATATTGGAATTACTCACATATAATTTTTGCAGTTGTTTGCTGTGTGTAAATATTGTTTATCACCAATGGGTTGCTATTTCTTCCTTTAGGAGTTGTACAGTAAAACAAAAGAATAGGGCACAGAGGTAGAGCAAAGAGTGTTTATGTGCTAAGATAGTTTTTCCATTCAGTATCAACCTGTCAGCTCATTAATTTTATGTAACACAGGCAGTGTGAGATTCAGTGAAATGTTAGACATATGTCTTCTTTACTGTTCATTATAAAGAATTAGCTGTTGTTGAATCA